TAAACCTTCTTTGTAAACCCAGGTCTGCTGATTCAGCTAAGGTTAACTCTCTATATCTATACCACTACTCCCAAATCATCATCTCCCTGTTTTTTTCTAATACCCATACCAGAGTCTGTTCTTTTCTTGTCAGAACTCCCCCTTGGGTCCCCACTATACACATGAAAAGGTACTCATTCCACAGCCTGACATTCCAGCCTCTTTATGACCTGATCCCTGCTAACCACACCGGCCTCCCCGTTAGTCCCATATTTCACATTACAGTTCTAAATAACAAACCTTCTCCATTAGGAGGGGCAGGGGCAGGGGTTGACAAAAAGGAAACACACATTTGCAAATACAAAGGTTTGGGTTGTAGTTTTGCTTTTAGTCATTGAACATTGAATAAAAACAGAAGGTAAATGATTCTTGCTCCTTACTGGCCATTTTCACAGTGGCTCTGGCTCTCCAAAAATAACCTTTTCCTTTTTTTTCTCTTTCCCTCTTTTTCTCCCTCCCTTTCTCTGTAACCCAGCTTTCTCCCTACCCCCTCCACTGCATCTGTTCCAGAATTCTTAGAGCGCAGGAGGCAAGAATCACCTACATTCCAAGCGGAATAGACACCCTGGATTTAGAATAGTGTTTCAGCACCACGGAGAGCGGCACAGTGCTTCCTGAGGTCTTCACACACGCTGTGAATTCCATACAAGGCACTTCTCTTCATTTGAAAAAGTCCCCCCTCGCTTTCAGCATCATTCCCTTGGATGTCACCTCCTGTTGGACTCCTGGTCACTGCCATCGCGCCCACCGCCCCTTCTGTGTCAGGTGAACACATCTCCCCTTTTGCAACACCCCCTGAGCTGTCCTTATCATTAATCCCTTCTACAAATATTTCAGTATGTACTTTGTACCAGCACTTCATCTAGGCTTGGCAGATATTTGTAAAAGTCCCTGACGTTCGGAGTTTTCCTTCTGGGTTAGAGGGGACAGAAAACAAATACGATGACTGACGGCAGCAATAGTGCTAAGAAACAAATCTAAAAGAAGGAATGGGGTCGTAGAGGGGGAAGGCAACTGTACATACTGTTGTCAGAAAGAAACGCAGAAGAGGAAACATTTCCTGCCCTTTGGAATGGGGGGGGGGGGGTTGAGTGTGGAGGGCTGGTGAGTGTGAAAGTTCTCAGGGTGGGGCTGAGATTTGCATTTTCAAGGAGTAGCAGGAGGCCAGTGTGGCTGAAGTTATACGCAAAGGAGAGAGTGTCAGTGGGTTAGGAAATGAGGTCACAGATCTGAGCAGTTGCCAAAGCATGAAAGGCCAGCATGAGGAGTTTGGACATACTCTAAGTGCAAGGGGAATTCGTCAAAGCGACGAAGAAGTAAGTGGTGTGTGACAAGCTTTGATGGATGGCAGTCGGGGGGCTGTTCTGAGAGTGACTGCATGTGGGCTCTCATTTAGGATCCAGCCATGTCTCCAGTGACCCACACACGTACAATGTTTGATGAGTGAATAAATGAGCACATGCATAGAACAAGTTCTTGAGGATCAGGGGTTAATAGGGGCCATGCCCGGGAAGCATGCCTCATATGACCTGGAAAAAAAATCAATGCCACTCCAGCCTCCCCACTCTGTCTCTCACCAACCAAACCCAGTCAGCCATCTGGTTCTATTGATTTTTCTGCTGATATTCTCTCTCAGTGCCATCCAGTCTTCTTTATCCTCCCAGCCTCGGTTCAGCTCAAACCTTATCTGCTATTTCTCAGACCACTGCATAAGCATCCTTCTCAGTTTGTCCATTTTCCTCTGGCCCATCCCCCACACAGGTCCCCGAGGGATGTTTAATACCCACCGTGACCCTGTCCTTCTGCCCCAACACCGGCACTGCCTTTTCCAGGACCGAATGCCAACTACATCACTTCCCAGACCTCGAGCTTCTCCTCTCTCTCTCTCTCTCTCTCTCTCTCTCTCTCTCTCTCTCTCTCTCTCTCTCTCGGTTTTCTCATGGGGAACATGAGATGATTGGACCAGATTCTCTCATTTCAAGATCTAAGATATTTATACTATTTTTATCCTTTCCACTCCTTTTGAATCACCTTTGTTTTAATGATTTTATGGGGCAGTCTAGTGCCGGGGTAAAAGCCTGGGTTGGAATCCAGCTTTCGTGATGGAGCAACTTCACCTCTGATTGCTTCTGTTTGCTCAGCTGGAAAATGGGAATAGTAATGACATCTGCCTGACCAGGCGAAGAGCAAGAAATCGCTTCATTTGCATAAAGCATGTAGAACTTCCCCAAACCATGGCACTCAAGAAAGTGTTCATTATTATGCTGGATGTTACTACTACTACTATTTATGTTTGCATGTATATATGTATATAAAACTACCATGTCTTGACCAGTTATTGTTATTGACCAGACACTGGGTTAGCCCTTCACACCCATGATCTAGACCAGGGGTCAGCAAACTTTGATTGTCCCACTGAATGTATTTGTATGGTTTGTGAGCTAAGAGTGGTTTTTTGGTTTGTTTGTTTTTTTAATGGTGTGGGGGAAGAAAACTATTTCAATCCTTCACCATTTATCCCCCCTTTACCTTCTCCTACCTCCCCCCACCCTTCTTTCCCTCTGGTAATCACCATACTGTTGTCTGAGGTGGTGAATACACAATACAATATACAGATGATGTATTATAGAATTGTACCCCTGAAACCTATGTAACTTTATTAACCAGTGTCACTCCAATAAATTCAATGAAAAATGTAAAAAATATATATTTCATCACCCATGAAGTTGACACTGAATTTAAACTTCAGGGCCCATAAATAGTATTAGTGGACCTCAGCCATGTCCACTGCTTCATCTCTGGGTGCTTTAGCAAACTTCTGGTTCGCAAAGTCTGAAACATCTGCTACCTAACGTTTGCCGACCCCTGGCCAAGACTTGTTTTCTTAACAACTCCACACTTTTGTAGCATACACAGGAAGTCTTGAGATTTGAACCCAAGTCTTTCCAGGTTCACAGATGCATGTTTCTTCAGTCATTTTACCCACAACCTTGAATGTACATGATGGATACCTTGTGGTGGATGCATAGGTTGTAGTCTATGAAATAAACTCAAGGAAAGTATTCAGGAAGTGGGGTTCAATCCCCTTCAAATTACTCTATGGTTCCATCAGAGGCCTGATTTCCAGTCCTAATAGCATCATTGATTCTGAGCTTGGCCTTGAAAAGTCAGGTCCTGGTGCACTGTAGTAAGCATGGATTTGTGATGAGAAAATCCTCAGTTCTAACCCCAGCCCTGCCATTGGCTACCTAGGGCTTCTCTTCTGTTCCTACTTTTGTGAACCACAGACAATGGGGTTTTCTTTCTAATGTTTTGGGTGGATTAAATCCAGTCTCCATGCCCCACTTTCTCTCTCTAGGCCACTATTTTTTTCCATCTGAAAAAAGGATGAGACCTTTCGCTCTGACACTCTGGGATGGTGACATCCCATGTATCTTATTTTAGCTCAGTGTCTGGCTCCACATGCTATGATTCAAGTCTGCACAGAGGAAAAAGTCCCGTCAGTTCAGGTTGGAGGCACAAGGGAGGCTTAACCTAGAGAAAGCTGGGGGAGGAGCAGGGAGGGGCCCGAGGGAGAGGATATTCAAAAATCTATCTTTATTTGCAGAATCACCTTGAAGCAGGGACCTGAGCGTGGGCCCCAGGAGATAGAATGGAAATGAGGCGTACAAAAGGGTTTGTTCATAAAATATCAACTGGATTCAAAGGACCAAATGGAGTTTAATTCAGTTATGTTGAGTTCATTTTAACTGAACTGAAGAATTGAGTCTGAATGAATTGGGGTTAGGTGGACCAGATGGATGGAGTTAAACATGTTAGAGCTGAGTTGATCTGGGCTGACCTAACCTGAGTGGGACTGAATAGACCAAACTGAGCTGCATTGGGAAGGACTCTATCCTAGACCTCAGCACACTCGAGTCCTCGGGCACCAGCTTATGCTGGTATCTTAGGTAACTCCCTGCATAATTCTGGAACTCAGCACCCCTATTTCATTAAGTGAGTGTTCATAACAACTCCCGGGCAGAGATGTTATGAGAAGGGTGTGCAATTACTCATAGATCAGAAGAAAAAGAACTATAAACACATACTAAACTCTGATGACATGCATAATGAATTATTTAAGGTAAGGTGTACTGACGCTTCAACTCACTTTGAAATGCATTTTTAAAAAATTAGTGAGGTATAGCCCTGGCTGGGTAGCTAAATGGTTAGAGCATCATGCCACTACACCAAGGTTGTAGGCTTGATCCCCAATCAGGGTACATTCAAGAAACAACCAATAAATGCATAAGTAGGTAGAACAACACATCTCTCTCTCTCTCTCTCTCAAATCAATCAATAAAAATAATAATAAAATAGGTTGATGGATGGATAGAAATATAGATAGATGAGCAGATTCAGGACAAAGCAAATCTAGTCCTATGGTAATGGTTGACTCTAAGTGGTGGGTCCATGGGTGTTCATTCACGCCAACATTGTTGGCCTTTTCTGTCTGAAAATTTTTTAGATAAAATGTTGCACAGGAAATTGAAAGCCTTGTAACCTGTTACTTGCCAGAATATCAGGAGCGGTTAAAAAAATGCAGCCTCTGGAGGCGAAAGTCATGAGTTTGAGCCCCAGATCTGCCTCTCACTGGTTGTGTGGCCCTGAGCAAATGACTTCATCTCTGGGAGTGTATGTTTCCACATCTGTGAAATGGGGTTATTCATAGCATTTACCTCACAGGGTCCTGAGTATCAGCACAGAGCCTGGTGCCTAATGAGCACCTAATAAGCATTTGGTCCTCTGTAAAATGGGCGCTGCTATCTCCACCCCACAGAGGAGAAGCAGGGCTCAGAGCGGTTCTGGAATTCCTCTAGGATCACACAGCAAGGAAGTGGCTTCCTTAGCGGAAGAGGAAACCACGGGTTCCTGGACCCTAAATGAGCCCCCCAGCCCATAAGTCCTTTCCTTGGGCTCACCCGATAGGATGAAGAAGATTCCAGAAACGAAGGCCAGAATGGTCCTCTGTGGGCGGATGTGGCCGATGTTGCTGATGACGAAGGCGGTGAACACGAGGAAGAGACTGACCATGGGGAAGGGTGTGGCTGTGCGCACCGTCTCTGGGGAGGGGACACAGGAGAGACTGGGTGAGGACGACAATCTGGGGGGACACCTCCCCATTCCTCTGACCTCTCTACTTTCTGCCCCTTTAGGGGGTTTCTCCCCTTTCCACAGACTCTTCCCCTTTCTGATAATTCCACTGCTGACTCCACGCCTTCACCTAGGCCACACCTCCTGTGGTTTGACCCCACCCCTTGTGTGTTGGCTCCACCTATTGTCTAGGCCCCGCCCCTTTCAGCCCAGCACCTCCTCCCTACCTAACCACTCTGCCTTCTTTCCAGCCTCCACTCCTTCCCCTCCACCCCAACCTTCCCTGCTCCTGCCCTTTCTCCCAGGACCTGCCCTGGGATCCTGCCCCTTGTTGCCTAGCCCGCGCCGCCCTCTACCCCGCTTCCCCTCACTCAGAATATTCTCCGTGTTTTCCGTCACCAAGTTGATTTCTGGTTCAAGAAAATATTCCGAGGCCACGCAACGACCCTTCTCCCGACCTGGGGGGATGATGAGAAGGCAGGGCTGAAGGAGAGGCTTCTAAGCTCTGGAGAAGCAGTCAGGGGCATGATGTAAAGTGGCGAGACCCGGGATGGGAATGGCTTAATCCAAAGGTTATGGAAGGAGATGGACAGGAGATCTGGGAGCTCCTGTGGCCGGATGCCCTAGAGACCAGACCCATGGATGGAGGACAAGGCTGGAACCCTAGGTCCCAGGTGGGGAGGGGCTGTGGGCCAGGGCTTCTGGACCCCTAAAAAGAATAAGGCAGCGAATGGCAGGATTCCGCAAAGAGGGAGCCTCTGCGATCCTTGAGAGGCGTGTTTTTTAAATCCTGTTCATTCAGCACTAGCACTGTCCAGGGGAGAGCTCCGAACCTAGATTACCGCTTCTAAGGGAAATGAAGGGACTGCGGTTCCCAGGGGCTTCGGGACCAGGAGATTGGGTGAGCCCTGTGGCTCCTAGATCCAGGGAACAGAGGGCTAGGAATCGGGTCTCCACGTAGGAATTTGATTCTCCAGGACAGAAACGGGATCCGTTTCTGGATTTCTGGAACCCAAGAGATGGAACTAAGGATAAGGGCTCTTGGGTCCCACCCAGGCAAGGCAGGGACAGTTGAGTGGAGGGCAGGTGGGGTCTGTACCTGCGAAGAAGCAGACGCGCCAGAGGCCGGCGTGCAGTGCCATCTTGACCTCCGTGGTTTGGTTCTGCGGCAGCACCGTCCCCTCCTCCATGTACAGCCAGTAGTCAGTGCTGACCGCGATGCCCACGAGCAGCAGGCCACACGCACCAAACACGCTGCTCAGCAGGGTCAGGGCGCGGCTGCTGCAGTGACTCATCCTCAGCGGCGGGGGGCGCCCGGCGGGGCCTGTGGGACCGGAAGCTGCCCTGGAAAGGCCTGATGGGACCAACTAGAGCCCTCACCCCCATGCAGCCACGTGGGACAGTGTGGACCTGGGCCAGAGACACCAATCCCCAAACCTCTCAAATCTGACCTCTGTGTCCTGACCCATGACTCCCTCCCTGGATTTGAACCAGTGACACCAATTATTGACCTGAAACCCTAGAACTGGCTTTCCCAAATATGACACGTGTGCTCTAGCTCTGGATCCTGATTAGAGACCCCACACCAGACCCCCAACCCCGGGATAAGATTTCTCACCATAATCCAGGACTGAACCTCAACTCCAACCACATGTCTGGACCTGGGTGCCAAATTATCATGACTTCAACTAGAAATTCAGTTTCTAGATTCTAAGCCCTCCAACCTGAACCTCTTGCCTTGAGCCAAGACCTTACCACAGACACTAGACCCCACCAGAATCCTTAAACCTGAGCCTGGTCCCGTGACTCAGAAGCTATTATACTGAGCAGGCCCTCCAACACTAGGACCAGGCTCACACCCCCAACTTTGACTCTGTGCCCTGGCACAAACCACAAACCTTGAATACCAGGCTCCAACAAGGGCCCATGACCTCAACTCTGAGCCAGAACCCTGAGTGTTGAAAGTTCAACACTGGATGCTGAGCAACATATCCTGTGTAGAAACCCTAACCCAAGCTACCCAATTTTAACTCTACCCACTGACCCCTTTCCTTTGAACTCTGTCTCTGAATAGAAACCAGAAATCCCCCAAATGTGTCACCAACAAAGGACCCTAATCCTATGCCCTGGCCTCAGGCCCTTGACCTCAAGCCTACCTAAGACCTTGAACAGAGGCCGTAACCTAAGTTGAAACTTTTAGACTCATATCTTGATTCTTAACACCCAATTCTAACACCAAGAACTTAACCCATAATCTTCTAACTCTGATCCTGTGTCTTGACCTCAATTTGGTACCCCAATGTGAGATTCCAGAACCCTAATTGTCCCCCAGTCCCAATCCAGGCAGGCCCCTGAACCTGGGATGCTGGAACTCCATCCCAAGCTGCTAAATCCCAAAAGAATGGGACCCAGAAACCTGGAGCCAGAATTTTGGATACAGACTTCAGAATGTCAAATCCATGATCTGCGCCCCCCCCCCCCAATTCAGCACCCTAACCAGTCAAACAAATGACCCTCCACACTAGGAATCAGTGCTCTGAACTCTAAAGGAAGTCTAGGATCCCATTCTCCTCCTCTCCCATCACAAGACCCCAAAATTCTCTACCAGAGGCTCTGGACTCCACCTCCCATGCTCGGACTTCCCATTACAGACCCTCTTCAACATCCAGCCTAGAACTGTGATCCCCATAACACTGGATCCTCAAAACAAAAGAACCCCAGTTCATAGCTGGGGCCCCCCAATTCCAATCAGAAATCTGGAGGTTCCAACGAGGATGCTCCTCATCTCTTATCCATCACCCTCACCCCCACCATGAACTTCCCCCAAACTGTGCAATCACATAATTTGGAGGACTCGACATGGGATCCCCATCCTATCTCAACCAGAGACCTCTACATCTCTGAATACCAGGGTCCCCGCCATCCTTTTAACTATAAAGGTTAAGACCCCTAAACACTTCCCAACAATGCAGCCAGGATTTGAGACCCCATTTGTTTAACCATAATGCCGGTAGCCTTGAAACTCTGCGTCACCCCAATAAGGAGTCCAAGACAACTTTCACCACCACCTTCATCCCAGCATCCAGTGCCCCCATCCCCCCGGACTCAAGGATCTGAGACCGGCAGAGCTCAGACCAGCTTTTCCCTCCCATCCCCCGTCCCATGGCTCCAGGGCTTGACCGCCAGCTGCCTGCCCCTTTTCTACTGTGTTTCGCTGGGAAACCAGCATCAGAAACGTTACCCTGACTGCCTCAGCCCAGGTAGCGGACCTCAGCTCCACCCTTCCTTCCTCCGACTCGGGCTGGGACCTGGCTCGGGGTCACCCATCTCACTTCCCCTTTGGAGGCCCCCTCCTCCGTCGCTCGATTCCTCCGCACTCTGAATGGCCCGCCCAGACCTCTACATTCTCCGCCGGCCTCCAGCCCTTTTCCTTCGGGACCCTCCCCCGGGCCTGGGGCCTCCTTTCCGTTTTCTCCAGCCTCTCCAGGATTCGAACATTCGGATCCCCGGGGTCCCCTTCTCCAAGCCTACGTCCAAACTCCATCTCCTTGCAACCTCTCGGGGGGACAGACCCCGCTTTCCGGAAACCCCTTCTCGGACTTAGCGGGCCAGGCCCTCCCTCTCCGCCAGGACCGCCTCCCCCAAGGACCTGGTCTGCACCCTTCCCAGGGCCCACGTTCTCCACTACTCGGACGTGCAGTATAGTTGCCCCACTCCGGGCCCTCGGACCCCGTCCTCCGGGATCCCCTAGGCCCAAATAGCCCTCCGTCCGCCATTGCCTCCCGAACTCGGCCGTCCTGACCGCCGGAATGCCACCCCCAGAGGCCACTCAGGCCCCTTTTAGCCCCAAGAGCAGACCCCATCCACCTCAAGGGACACCCCCACCTCCTTCGAGGACCCTCCCCTCGCGCTCACCTCGCTCAGGGCTGGGCGGACGCTCCGGGCTGCGGGCCCCGCAGCCGCATGACCGGCCCCGCGGCTTCCCCCGGCCGCCGCCGCCACCACCGGGGTCGCCGATGCCCGCGCCCCCCGCCCCCGCCCCGGAGCCCGGCGTCCCGGCCCCCTCCGGGCCTCCCCCCCCCCACCCCCCGCGCCCGCGGCCTCACTCGGCGGACAACGCCGGGAGCTGGGACCGGCGGCCGCTCATTGGCTGCCGAGGAGGAGGGGAGGGGCGGGGAGGGAGGGGAAGGATGCAGGAGGGAGGGAGACAGGCCCTGAGAATGGGGGAGGCAGGGAGAGGATAGAAACAGAGCGGAGCGCCGGTAGGGGCTGGGGCAGGGGCACCCGGAGGGGTGAGACAGCAGAGGACCCGGGCGCACCCAGAGCTCGAGGCTGAGGCTGAGCAATCCTGGAACTCGCAAGTCTGGAGACGGAGGAGACAGAGATGGAGAGAGAGAGAGAGAGAGGGAGAGAGAGAGAGAGGGAGAGAGAGAGAGAGAGAGGAGATGGGCAGAGCGCGGGTCCCAGACCCCCGCTTCCCCGGGCTCAGAGGCTCCGGGGCGCTGGAAGTGGAGAGGTCAGGCAAGCAGAGACAAAAGGAGACAGGGGGCGCTCAGAGGCCTTGGGCTGAGAAATGCTGAGACCTAGACACCTTGAGCCAGGCAGAGACAGAGACAGAAAGAGAGACAGAGAGAGAGAGAGAGAGACCCTGAAAGGAGAGACAGCACGGGCAATCCTTGGGGTCCCCTGATGAGGGCTGGGGTTCTGGCCGGGCCTGGGGCGGAGCCTGGGGTCAGGGCGGCTGGAGCAAGCGGGAGGGGGCGTCCCGGGCCGGGGTCCCCAGAGCAGCAGGAGGGCGCAGAGCGGAGCCGGGTCCTGCAGCCGCCGCGGAGCCGGGAGCCGGGCCAGCACCCCCCCCCCCGCCGTGATGTCAGCGGGGCCACTCTTAAAGGGGCAGGCCGCCCGCCGAGGGTCGGAGCGGGGGGCTGGGGGCCGCGTGCACTGGGTGGGGGTACCGCGGCGGGGCTGGGGGAGACAGGGGAAGCCCCAGAATCCAACTGGACCAAGTCCCGAAAACCCAAGAGGTACAAAGAGACGCCGGGGCTCCCCGAGAGAGCCTGCGAAGCTTTGGGGCTCAGTCCTTTCAAACACAAACATAGGCACACCATTCGACCAGCCGGCCCCGTCCAGGGACTACATTTCCCATCAGCCCTGGCAGCGAGGGGCCGCACTTGGGGGAAGGGTCCACCGAGGTGTCTGCTGGGATGTGTGGTCCATTTGCACTATCCTCCCCACTCCCCCTGCTCGCAAGTGGGTCAAAGGAAGGAAGCCCGGATGGCGCGTCTGCCTGCTGCCTCAGTCGCTGATCCTTAAGGTCACAAGTCTGGTCGTTTAGGGGTCAGTCCCTCTGATCAAATCTCCAGCTGTCTCAATGGGAGGCTTGCCTTTCATCTCCCCACTCAGGATTTCCCAGTGTCTGGGTGTCAGTGTGTATCTGTGAGCTTGTGTGATGCTCTGGGTATGTGCATGCTTGTCTGTCTGTGCCTGGAGTCTCCCTTGACACATGTGCCCTTTGGTCCTCTCTGTGAATCGTTTTGTCTCTGGCCCCATCTCGGTTCTTCTGCTTTCAAGCTGTGAGTATCTACTCTCCCTACGGCTCTCAGCACTTTCCCTCTCGATCCTCCGCCCTCTCCCATTCTCTCTCTTTGTTTCTATGTGCGCTCATCGTCCCACCTCCGCAACCCCTTCGTTCTCCAAGCTTAGAAGAAAACATCCAAACACCTCAGCGTCAGCATCCCAAATTTATTCTCCAGCAGCTGCGGCCGGATGGGAGAGGCAAAGAGAAGAGGAACTGGGGGGGAGTCCCCAGAGTGGCAGGCATGAGGTGGGGGCGGGGTTCCGAGCAGGACTGGAGCCATGCACCTGGCAGGCAGGCGGGGGGGGGGGGGGGGGGGAGTTAGGATGGGAGAGTCTAGAATGAAAGCTGATTGAGAACAGTGGGGGAAAGATCCCCCGCACACCCCAGGCATCCCCAGGGTGCTGGAGCATGTGGGCACAGCCTCCCACTTACTCCAGAATGGAGTGGGGGTGGTCAAGACCTCGCAGGTGGGGCTTTACCTGGAACCCGAGTCTGGAATAGCCCACCCCATGAGACTATTTCCCAAAATGATTTAAAAAAAGAAGAAGAAGAGGCAGAGATTCTACCCACATGGAGTCTAGGACCCCACGGAGTGGGGGTGGTGGTGGTGGTTCTGGAAACCAGTGGGACAGAGTCCAGAACATGGAGATGGGTGAGAATCTAGAGCTCAGCGCATCCGAACCCAGAGCACGGGAAGGCTCCAGAGACTGTGGCGCTCAGAATGGCAGGAACACCTGAAAGGGGCACCTAGGACCCAAGGGTAGGGACCAGAATGCTGGGGAGCAGGATCTAGAATTCGAAAGGAGGCGGTGAAGTGGGGCCCAAGGCTTGCGCAGCAGAGGGAGCCATGGGGACATCTAGTGGCAGAAGACGGGAATTACATGACTGGCACAGGTGCTGGGCTGATGGGGCTGCGGGCATCCGGGTGCACGAAATCCGGGTTCACGTAGGTGAATCCTTGGAAATCGGCCTGGTCGATGCTGGCCAGAACCAGGCGATCTGGAGGGGTAAGAGCTGGCGCCGCCCTCGTGAAGAACTTGTCGAAGTTCTCGCCGCTTCGGCCACACTGGGAAACAGCAGGAAGGAAACGTGTTCTACCTGCTCCTTGGGTACTTGTCTCTGTCCCCCAAAATCCCTCTCCTGTCTCCTTTGGAAGCCCTGCGCATCCTCCTGGCCTCTGTTCCCCACTCTGTCCGCCCCACCTCCTCATATAGGTATTGGAGCTCCTGAATGCCCCACCCCCAGAGACCAAGGTTTTGTTCACAAAGGTGACCTACCGGGCGGGGTCTGAAGGGAGGTGGGATCTCCAGCTGTTCCAGCCGGTCCCAGTCGATCCAGCGGAAAAAGCCATGAGCACGAATGGTGGGTTCCCCATCCGGACCAGAGCCCAGGCGCTTCGCAGGGTGCTTGGTTAGGAACTGTGGGGAACACAGAGAGACAGACAGGCAGACAAGTCCCAAACGGGGAGGCCCAGAGAGCGAGAAAGAGAGAGAGAAGGATGGAGGAACAGAGAGACACAAGCACAGAGATCCAAGGACAGGAGAGTAGCAAGAGGGGACAGGATGGGGAGGGGGAAGAAGAAAGAGGAAGAGAGAGATGAGTAAGAATGGGGTAGGTGAAGTCCAAGCCCACAGACCCAGTGTCAGAGGAGAAAGAAAAATCAGGGTGTGAGGGGTGTGAGGGCCACAGAAACACAGAAAGAGAGGAGGGGGACCCAGAAAGAATCAGAGAAGGGGATGGAAGGGTAGAGGGAGAGAGGGAAAGAGAGAGAGGTTGGAGACCCAAGAGACAAATCCCCAGAGAGAGGAACAAAGGCCCAATATAAAGATAGAGACTCAGAGAAAGAGGAAAACAGAGACCCAGAAATAGAAGAAGAGGACAAGAGGAGGACCCCAGGAGGAGGAGAGTGAGGATGTGAAAGGGAGAGGTGGGGAGGGAGAGAAAGAGAAAGGTGAAAGACCCTCCCTCCAAAATAGGGGGGAATAGAGATCCAGAGAGAGGCAGAAAGCCGGGGGAGGGGGGGTAGAGACCCAGCGAACACAGGCCATGGAGGAGATGGGGCAGGTGACAGAGACCCGGAGACAGACCCTCAGAGAAAGGCATGTGGACCCAAAATAAAGGAGAGACTCAGAAAGATCAGAGGAGAGAAAGCCAGAGAGAGACGGCCAGAGATCCAGAGAGAGTGTGTGTACGAGTGAAGGGAAGAAGGCAAGAGAGAGAGGACAGACATGCAAGCGATAGACAGAGATACAGAAGGACACACAGACAAGGGAGAGACACAGAAAGCCCCATCATATGCAGATGGAGGCGGAGGGATGAGACAGAGACCCAGGGAGAGAGGCAGTCAGAGAGACGTGTTGGCAGGAGCCAGAGCAGAAGTGTGCAGACACCTGTGGAAGAGCTGCCACCGGCTATGTTCTCTCTCCTGCATTCACTCCAGTAGAGGAGACCGAGGCTCCCAGAGTTTCCTTGACTCGCCCAAGATCCCAGGGGAGGACAAGAGGCAGAGTTAGGTTCATCTGAGCTCCCCGTCTCTGGAGAGGCAGGCCCTGGCCTCCGGCCCTTTCTGCAGTGAGCTGGGGAGTGGGGGCAGCAGAGGGGCATAGAGCAGAGGCCCTGCTTGAACTGGAGGTGGCAGTGGGCAGCAAATTACCGTTCTGACCAAATCGCTGTATTATATAAACTCTTCCAGCAGATGGAAGTCAAGTGACTTGAGGGGTGGGAGCCTCTTTCTAATAAATATGCACAGAGACACTGCGTGGGCAGCCCTGGATGGCAGCAGCAGGACGCATGGGTTGTGAGTCTGGGCAATCTGGGAGTCAGGGCTCTCACCCCCTTGCAGATGGCCACGGCTTCTCGGGAGAGTGACTTGGGGTAGGTGACAGTTTGTTCCATGATGGCCTGAAATAGCTCCTCCTCATCTTCCCCGTCAAAGGGGGGCTAAGGAAATAGAAGGGATAAGAAGTCAGAGACTTGATGGATCACCTCTCCTCACATTCCATGAACCCCACCTTCATCCCCCACCATGAACACAAGCCCCCACACACACACTTCCTAGGGGAAAAAAAATGTAAGCAAACTACCGAAGCTTTATCTACCTCGCTCCCCAAGAGGCTTTGATTTCTGATCTAAAATGCTTCAGCTCTCAGCACCCTTTGCTGCTTTGTCTCTTTTCATCTGCTATGTATATCAGCAGGGTGTTAATTAGGCAATATGTCATCTGAATAGAAGATGGGGACAACTACAAGAAAAGTTGTAGCAGGATTCTGGCTAGATGAGTGGTCTCCGGTCTTCTGGGGTTAGGAAGAGCAACATCAAGGATCCTTCATGTGGGATCCAGAGAGTGTTTATGTAATTGAGGGGGTCTATGAACCTGTATAACCATTTGTGCTCAAGGCTTTTTCCACTTCCTCTGTTTCTGGGGGAAATGCATCTTTATTTTTTAACATATCTAACTGGAATTTAGCACTCCCTTCAATTATGCATGTAGGTACACCAATCAGAAAGAATATATGCACCCCTATGTTTATAGCAGTACTATTTACAGTTGCTAAGATCTGGAAACAGCTCAAGTGTCCCTCAATGTAGAGTCGATAAAAAGGCTGCAGCATATATACACAATGGAGTACTATGCAGCTGTAAGAAAGAAAGATCTCTTATCCTTTGAGATGACACGGAGGGACCTGGAGAGTATTATGCTAAGTGAAATAAGTCATTCAGAGAAAGACAAGTATCATATGATCTCACTTATTTGTGGAATATAATGAACAAAATAAGCTGATGAACAAAATATACCCAGAGTCATAGAAGGAAAAGACTGACAAACCTTGGATGGGGGATAAACCAAAGAACTTATATGCATATATGTCTATGTCAATGGACATAGACAACAATACTGTTAAGGAGGGGTAGAAGTAGGGGGGAGGGTGTCAATGGGAAAAAAATGAGAAACATGTAACAAAAATAAATTATAAAATAAAACAAAATGTAAAATTAAATAAAACAAAAATATTAAAATAAAAAATTATGAATGTAGCTAACAAAGCACAGCAACAGGACTTGTGGCTTAATCACCGATAGAAATCATAGATTTTTTTTTATCACATTAGAGTTGCAGGTATCTCAAAATATCGGTCATCTCTACTTCAAAATGACCAGGAGGCCTTCCTATGCACTTTCTATTCCTGTGAGATATTACTATTTAATTTATTAGTAGGACATCACAAATATGTCCACATCCCAATGTTTAATATTTAGGCAACTGTATATATTAAAATTAAATTTATTTAGTTGGTTAAATTAGATTTCACTAAACTTTTGAAATATTGTTTATAATATTTTAATAGATCGATTTTATAATCCTATTATTTTATTTTGTGCATTAACATTGTTCTGCGAAGGAGTACATGGCATCCTGGGAGGACAATACTTCAGGACCAAGAACAGCGCTATCTGGACACCTCTCAGCACTTCCTTAGACTACAGACCTTCCTTCCCAGGTTTTTCCTGAGAAGAAAGGTCATGTAATAAGGTGACGGCCCACTCCATGTTGCCTTTAGCCAAGCCAGCCTCTCCCCAGCTTCCTTACCTGTCCCGCCAACATCTCATACAGAAGAACCCCAAAGGACCACCAGTCTACAGACTTCCCATAGGGCTGGTAGGCAATGATCTGTGGGGGGCGGGGGAAGAATAGAAGGCAAGAATTCACACTTTGCATGCTTTAAGAAGCATAGAACCGCCCTGGCTGGTTTGGCTCAATGGTTAGAGCATAGGCCCATGGACCAAAGAGTCTCAGGTTCAATTCCGTTCAAGGGTATGTACCTTGGTGGTGGTTGGGTCCCCAGCCCTGGTCAGGGTCATGCAGGAGGCAACCAATCAATGTGTCTCTCTCGCATCGATGTTTCTCTCCCCCCACCCCCATACTCTATCTGAAGATAAATGGAAAAATATCCTCAGGTGAGGATTTTAAAATAATAAATAAATAAATAATAAAAAGAAGCATAGGAACCTTCTGGCTTCACCCTCTGGGCACCCTACCACTTTAAGGGTATTCAGCACAAACTCTCCTCACCTGGAATACATTGTTCTTTGGAAAATCGGAGAGACAAACTTTACCTACTTAGGATATTTCTTTTGTCCCAAATACAAAGACTACCTAAGGGCCAAGTCCCATGTTCCACCACCCAGAATATTTAGGTAACTGGACCCTCTCCTTACAGTATCAGGTACACAAAAGCTCAATTTCAGAGCTCAGAGATTCTTTTTTTTTTTTTTTTTTGGTATGTGCCCCTAGCGGGAACCTGGGATTCTCTGGTCCACAGGCTGACGCTCCAACCGCTGAGCCAAACCGGCCAGGGTGAGACCAGAGATTCTTAAATCTGGATGCATTTCAGATTCATCTGGGGGTGCTGTTTAAAAACACATATTCTCAGCCCTGAAGAATTTCAACCTCAACAGGCCAAAGTCAGAGGCAGGAATATGTGGATCTTTCAAAACCTCCCCAGGCGATTCTGATTACCAGCCTGGTTTTGAAACCATTGCTTGGTTACTTGGTTACTAGCACTGAATCATCTGGCAAGATCAAGGACAGCCCCACCAACACTACCTTCCCCTCCAAGAAAAGTCAGAACACACTCTCTAGACATGCAGTCAGCTCCTTAGCTCCACCCCTTTACGAAGCCAGGGCATACCCTGCCCACTTGAAATATTCAGGAGACAGCCTCCACAGGCTTAGTGTTCTAGGGGGACGGGCCCCACCCACTCAGACTAACTGGTAATTGTCTCCACTTTCTTAGAATAGTCCAGTAACAGGCCCTGTTCTCTTGGAATTCCTACAAGTTGGTGCCACTCTTTAAGAACGTTCACCCACAAGTCCCACCCACTTTGCTTATTTAGAGACCCAGCTCCACCCACTTTGAACAGCTCAGGGCCCAGGCCTCTCTGCACTGTTCTCCGTTAGAACACCCACCTCTCATGTAAAGACCCCAGGGTCAAGTCCCCCGCAGGATGAATACTAGACAACCAGCCACACCCACTCAGCGGACTTGAAGAGAGCCCAGGGCAGTGGAATTAGGGTTACCTCCGGGGCTATGTAGTCTGGGGTCCCGCAGAAGGTGCGGGTCGTGTTCCCGGGGAAGACATTCTCTTTACACATGCCGAAGTCAGTGATTTTGATGTGCCCTTCGGCATCCAGCATCACGTTGTCCAGTTTCAGGTCCCTGGGGTGCAGGGTGGGGTGAGTAGGAATAGAGAGAGTGCAATGGGCTAGAGCCCCAAGTTCAAGTCCCTTCCCCTATAGGGGTCTCATCCCCTCCATGGAAAGACCTGGGGCTGCTCACCGGTAGATGATGCCCTGGTTGTGAAGGAAGAAGAGGCCGATGGCGATTTCTGCTGCGTAGAACCTGGAGGAGGGGGTGGGGAGCCTGAGGTCAGTGGCTGGATCCCAACCCTTCCATCTTCCCCCCACCCTCACCTTGGCCGAGACTCACGCTGCATGCGGCTCCTTAAACTTGCCCAACTGCTGAATGTGGTACATCAAGTCGCCCCCGGTCACATACTCCATCACAAAATACAAGCGATCCTGAGGGGCAGTGGGCGGAGGTTAGAGGCGCCCACTAATCGGTCTACACACGCCTGCGCGCCCAGCTGCTCTCTAAATGGGCGCTTCCTACTCACTAGAGACAGACGTGAAAGGCCAGGGGTCCACCCAATCAGAAACCCAGAGCGACTGGCCACGACCCCCAGGAGGCGTGGAAGATTCTAACAAGGCCGACTCAGCACCTCCACCTGCCTCATCCCCCTGTTACCCAGAACTATAGATGTTTTGGTCCCGCCCTCTCAGAATTGCAGCTTCAGGTGCACCCTTCGCTGGGAATCCCGGGGATCCCAAATCTCTTTCACACCCACTCACACCTGTGTTTAGGAGCCAGCGTTATACAGGCCTCACCTGCAAATTAACCATCATGATAATAATAATAATAATGTAAACATTCAGGAAAGCTGGCCACACCCATTCAGAGCTTTTGAAAGAGCCACGCCCTCTCAAACCCTGGTCCCATTCTAAAATCTTGGGAAATCCTTCTTTCTGAGGAGTCCTTCATTCAGAATCCAAGAGGGAGGACCTCCTCTGGGAGCCCAGTTCCGGACACACCCACTCCAAAGACATTCTTCACGCACTCCTTCACTCAACAATCCTTTACTCAAAAACACCCACTCAACACCACGTTCGCTGGGGCCACGCCCACACAGGGCCCCGCCCGTCTGGCCCCGCCCATCCCGAGTGCGCGACGCCCTTGGGCCTCGCCCCGAGCTCAGAATCCTGGAGCAGATGCCTGCTCCATCCAGGGGGGATGAGGCAGGGCTCTGGAGCCAGCCTCCGCCTCCTCGGTCCTTACCGGGGTCTGGAAGGTGGAGTGGAGCTGGGTGAGGAAGTGGGGCCGGCCTCCCGGACCTCGGCCCCCCAGAGCCAGCACGCGTTTCTCCACCAGGGTGCAGTCCACGTCGTCATCCTGCACGATCACGTCTTTCTTCAGGATCTTGATGGCATAGAGTTCGTCGGAGCCCCTGCGCTCGGCCAGCATCACCTGCGGACAGAAGCCCGAAAGGCCCAGTCGGTCTTGGGGACCCCAGGGGTGCAGGCCCCTGCGCCTCCCTTTCAGGGACAGGGAGAAACAAAATCTCAAGTCCTTCCTCTCCCTCTCAGGGGATCTGGCACCCTAACTGCCAACCACTCCCTCCGGGAAAGCAATCAATGCCCATTTTTTTTTACTTTTTTTGTTTGTTTGTTTTAGCTAAACTGGTTATATATGCCATAAAGCAAGATCTCAAATGCTCTACAATCCACGTCTTTGTCTCTCCTCTCCAGAGGCCCGAGGGGCTCCATTCAACCCTTTTGGGGGATTCAGTAGCCTAGTGTGCCTCCCTCTTATCCTCACTAAGAACTAGAAGTGTGTCCGCCCTTCAGACATCCTCCCCTTCCCCCAGGGCCCCAGCAATCCGACCTTCCCAAAACTGCCTTTTCCTAGAACCATGAGGAAGCTGAAGTCCGAGATGTGCAGACGTCCAGGACTCGCCCCGAAGAAACAGCGCTTGGAGTCGGTGGGACTAGGGGATGGGGAGGGGATGGGAGAGGAAGAAGGGCCCATCCGCACCCGCTGTGAGAAAGGGGAGAGATCCCGAGGTGGTCAGATCCCCCACAGGGACAAGGGGGGTGCCCCCAAGAGAGACAGTATCCAATAATGAAAAGGGTGGGGAGAGAAAATAGAAGTTGTCCCCGCCCCCTCCTTGGCTTAAGAACTTTCTATGACTTTCCAGAGCCGGAGGGTTTAGTTATTATTTAACTAACACTTCGAGGGCTTACTATATGCCATGAGTCCTCTGGAAAACTCCCTCATCACCCCACCGACCCCCATTTTAGAGAAGAGGAAGCTGGCACAGAGATGTTAAGTAGCTTGCCCCACATCACATAGCGGATAATAAGCAGAGCCAGAAATCAAAGTCCATTAAAGCCAGATTGTGTCTGCCCCCTTTCTGTTTCTCCACCATCACCCAGCACAGGGCTTGGAACACGAGGTGTCAGCAAGAGGGTGTTGGATGGATGACCGTCTCAGGAGATGAGGGTGAATGTAATTCCTATTGCTCAGCCTTCAGAGCAGACCCGGAATCTGAACATTGTTACCACCACTGTGCCCCTGGGCCAGCTGCTCCCACCTGTGTGGTTGCAATAGCTTTCTCCCTCCACCCACCCGGGCCTTCCGCCATCTACACAGAGGAAGTCATCTTGTTGAAATGGAAACCATCTCAGGCCACCTCGGATGCCCTCCCATGTCACTCGGTTTAAAAGCCAAAATCCGTCCAATGAATGACAAGCCCCGCCCACTCCCAGCCAATCTTCCCTCTCTGACTTCATCTCCTGCTTCCTCCCACCTCCAGCCTGTCCTCCTGGCTGTGCAGCAGATATTGCTGGCCCATCCCCACCTCAGGGCCTTTGCACGTGCTGTTCCCTCTGCCTGGAAGGCCCTTCTCAGCCCTCCTCGTGGCTCACTCTCTCACCTCCACATCTTAGCCACATGGTCCTTTCTCAGTGAACCCTTCTCTGCTACTGCAGTTAAAACCACAAAAACTGCCCTGGCCGGTTTGGCTCAGCAGTTAGAGAGTCGACCTGCGGTGCAGAGAGACCCGGGTTCGGTTCCTGCTAAGGGCATGTACCTCGGTTGCAGTTTGTCCCCGGTCCTGGTCGGTCGTGCGGGTGGCAGCCACTCGATGTGTTCCTTTCACATCGATGTTTCTCTTTCTCTCTCTGTTCCTCTCTCTCCCTCCCAATCTACCTGAATAACAACAACAACAAAAAAAATGCAAAAATGTCCTCGGGTGAGGATAAAAAATAAATAAATAAATAAAAACACAAAAACTTCTCCAAGGGCAATCCCTACTCCCCCCAACGTTTATTTTTCTCCACATCGCTCACTGTTCTCTAACATATTATCATTTACTTTATCTTGTTTAATGTCTTTCTCAGTGTTGAGCCTCATGGGGGCAGGAATTTTTCTCTCTCGTTCGCCCCTCTTTCCGCAGTGACTCAGACCATGTCTTACCCACAGAGGGGCTTGACGAAACGTCATATGAAAGAATAACTGAGGGGAAAAGCGTTCCTTTCTTTGGCCTGGAAACCTGTGTCCCTCTCCTTTGCCTGGGGAATCCTGCACACCCTCCAGGACCCAGCTCTCTGGGAAGCTTTCTCTGGTTCTCCCAGCCAGTGCCAGGGACTCCTGGCACCGCCTAGCACCCAGCGCCCGAGGCCCCCCATTGTCAAACATATTCCTCGTGGCGGTGAAGGTCTCCTTTGGTAACTTTTCCCTGCACTGAAAGAAGAGATCCCGGGCAACGACCTGACTGTACTTTCGGAACAGGGCTTGGCCCACATGACACCTCCAGAAACAGGATCAGTGAGTGAGTAAATGAATGGAGAGAGAGGGGACAGTCATCCAGGATCAACCCTGGTGGCTCCTCCTCAGGGAAGTCCTCCCTGACCACCCTCCTTCCTAAGCTGGGTTAGTCTATGCTTCTTTAGTGCCCTGAGCTCTGAGTTAGCACGCCGGCCAGGGATTTAAGTATCGTATCTGTGACTGTGACCCTAGCTCAGGGAGTTGCCTGAGAGTCAGATTCACCGAGGATTGCTCATGTGTGTGGAAATGAACAGATATTATGGGAGAGAGGTACAGATCCCAGGAATGAAACTGTCACCACTCCAGGCCTTAGTTCCACTTACCTCATACAGTTCCAGGGGGTAGTTGCAGGCCTGGGTGGGGAGAAAGCCAGAGTCAGAGCCCCAGAAAGGTAGGAGATTGCCCTGAAGCAGAGGGTGGGGGCCCGCAAACTCCCAAGCCACAGGGATGGAGTGGAACTCGAATTCCCATGAGACCCTGAGGCACTAATCCCCCAGAAAAGCTGGGGAAGGAGTCCCAGGGTCTTCTGGGAATTGTAGTTTAGGACCAGCTAGCGGTTCAGAAAGGCCAGCTCTGAACAGAGGGGAGCTGGGCTGGGTTCTGTGGAGAAGCCAGGATCCGGGTACCTCAAACTTCTGGAGGAGGCTGCAGTTGTCAGCATCAGCCACCGGCACATTGTAATATTCGCCCTCCTCCTGGTTCAGTAACTTGTACCTGACATACAGACGGAGACCAGAGCCGGGCAGGAAGGGGGGAAGACAGGTGGGCAGGGGCACCCGCGGGAGAGGCAGAGACATCAGAATGGGGAAAGAGACAGGCAGACGCAGAGATGGAGAGAAAGAGTGAGATAAGGAGAGAATGATGTTGGCCTGGAGGAGGAAGACCACACACAGACAGAGGTGGAGATGCCCACCACCCACCCCATCCTGGCCCTCACCAGCCGTCCACTGGTGCCTTGAGCAGCTCAGACACTCCAAAGGACATGGCACCCATGAAGTCGTTGCGGGAGGTCCGGTCCCAGTCCCACACCTCCACGCTGAGCCTGCGCTCCACGTCCCCAGGCTTCAGGTTGCTGCGGAAGGGTGGGGCAGAATGAGGCCCAGCTGCGGGCTTCCCTCCTCATCCTTGCTGCTGGAAGAGGAGGCTAACGCGGCAAGCTGGGCTCTTTCCTGCTCTGTGAGGTGTCTTCCCACCTGTGGTCCTCACGTAGGGGTTCCCTCCCCCAATACCAGGGCCCTAAGTAAACCTGGATAGCTCTCTCCCTGTCTCCCTCACTCCAACTCTTGGCTCCTTCCCATCCCTGTTTCCAGGTCTTTCTCTCCCACTCTGGGTGTCTATTTCCTCTGTCTTTCTGTCAGTTGGCTTCATTTTCTTCCCATGCATCCCATCCACCCACCACACCACCACCACTCTGTTCCCAACCCCCTCCATTCTGTTGGGTCTCACTCTGGGTCTCTCTCTCTCTCTCTCTCTCTCTCTCTCTCCTGATTGAGAGAGAGAGAGAAAGAGAGAGCAAGAAACATCGATATATTGTTCCATTCATTCATGCATTCATTGGTTGACTCTTGTATGTGCCCTCACCAGGGGTTGAACCCACAACTTTGGCTGATCGGGATCACACTCTAACCAACTGAGCTACCCAGCCAGGGCTCTCTCTTTCTCTCCTCCTCCCTCTCTCCCTCATCTCGGTCTCACTCTAAAGTGGTGGGCATTGATGGAAATCAAATACACAGATGTCTGCCTGTCTCTCCGCTTCTGTATCTCCATTCCCTTCCCCCCAATCACTCCATTCCCTTCTCCCCATCCATTTCTGCTCTTTTGTGGGGGTTCCCTCTATCCTAACCCCTCCCACCAGCTGCTCTCTGGGGTCTTGTGAGCCACCAGGACCCTCAGATCACCCTCTGTCAGCCATCACAGCCTCCCCGGCACCCGAGGCTCACAACACAAAGGTCTCGTTCCACACAGGGTTCAGCGTGGCTTTCACCGTCCGGGTCTTCTGTTTGGTCAAGTTCCGAGGGTCTGGGATGAGCTTCAGTTTCACATAGGGGTCAGACAGACCATTGGGGTCCATTGGGATGAGGTTACGGGCCTCACCGACTGAGCCGGGAGGTGAAGGAGGGTAGATCGGGTTAGAGATCCAGGAAGAGGCCCCCTAGCCCGCCCCCAGTCACCATCAAGACTTCCAAGCTCTCAGCTGCCTTTCTCTTGACCCAGGTGTCTTTGATGTCGTACCTCTCCAGGACCCTGAAGACAGGGCATAAAGTCCTTTGACCCGAAATCAGACCCTCCTCCATTAGGACCCAGGAGCCAGGACCTGGCTACATCAGCAGCTCTTCTTTCTCTCACCCCTCCCTCTCAAGGGCCTTGACGCCTCGAATGGCCAATAAAAGGGGCTAAACGTTGCAAGAGGCGAGGCTGGAGACAGGGCTGCCAGCTAGAAGGGGCGTGGCCCGGGTGGTGCTAGCCTCTGAAGGCGGGTCCTGGTGTGGGCGTGGCCATCGGGAGGGGCGTGGCCTTCCCGTCCGGGCCCAGCGAGCACGGGTAAAGGGGCGGGGCCTCACCCGTGATGTGGATCTCATCCGCAGTCGGAGCTCGGATTTCCAGCTGCAGGCGCCCGCGGCGTTCCGTGTGGTCCACGCCGCACAGAGAGGGCACGCTGCGCACACAGCGCCGGTGCACGTTCATCTCGCAGCCTGTGGGGAGGGCGGAGGAGGGACAAAACTGGGGGGAGCGCTTCAGGCCTCGCCCCGACCCCAGACACCATCCCCAGGCATGTCCCGAAAGCCAGACACTGCGCTTTGGAAGGGCCCCAGAAGGCACATGTTCAGGCTTGAGCAAACTCACAGGAGCATTTCATGCCCTGGTGCACCAGCCCGTACAGGAGGGAGCCGCAGTGGTCGCAGAAGGTCGGGCTGCTGTAGCTGTGCAGACGGAACTTGTGTTTGTTCCGGGGGTCCTGGGGGCACAGAGGAGGCGGTCAGAGGGGGCAGCTGGGTATCTGGGACCTAGGGAGAGCAACCCTCTGAACTCTTCCTCCTTCTGCCCTCTCCCAGTCTCGCTGGTGCTCCGCCTCTCTCGTTCATTGCACAGCATTTATTGAGCATCTACTGTGTGCCAGGCACTGTTGTGGGTGCGGGGACCCAGCCCTGAACAAAAATTAAAACTCCATACTCAATGGGAAAAAACTAAAAGCGTTTCCCTTAAGATCTGGAACAAGACAGGCATGTGCCCTTTTGCCACTCATATTCAATATAGTACTGGAAGTCCTAGCCACATGATCAGACAAGAAATGAAAAGTCATCCAAATTGGAAAGGAGGAAATAAAACTCATTATTCAAAGATGACATGATATTGTGCACAGAAAACCTTAAAGACTCCACACCAAAAACAAAAACTACTAGATCTAATAAATGAATTCAGCAAAGTAGCAGGATACAACATTAATGTCAAGAAATCAGTGATATTTTTATAACCAAGTATGAACTATCGAGAAGAGAAACTAAGAAAACAATCCCATTTACTGTTGCAACAACAACAATAAAAGGTACCTACAAATAAATTTAACCAAAGAGGTAAAAGACCTATACTCGGAAAACTGTACGATATTGAAGAAAGAAAAAGAGGATGATACAAACAAGTGGAAGCATATACCGTGTTCATGGATAGGGAGAATTAACATTATTAAAATGTCCATATTACCCAAAGCAATCTATAGATTCGACGCAATTCCTATTTTTAAAAGAACCCACACTCCTATCACATGGTGTTTGCTTTCTAGTGGAGGGGGACAGGAAATAAACATGGTGAATAAATTATATTGTACGATGGGTGGTGATGGGTACTCTGGAGAAAAATGAAACAGGAAAGGGGCCTGCCAGGAGTAGGGGGAGGTGCTGAAATTTGAAACAGTGATCTATCAGAAGGCATCACTAACACACAAGGTGGCATTTGAGACACACCTGAAGGAGGTGGGACTTCCAAAATCCCATAACCCCTCCGCCTCCACCTCATACAAACTGTTGTTTGAGGACTTGTGGGCCACCGTGAACCCCTGATCATTCACTGTCAGCCTCTGTCATTGTCTGCCTGCAGGCGACCTGCCTTCTCTGAGCCCCTGGTGGGATGGAGAATCTGACTTGTCAGTTATAAAGCCCCAGGAATTCTAAATGAAAGATTAAATGTAAACCACACAGCAGGGCCTAGCACGTTAAATGTGCTCAGTACTGTTCCTCTTACTGCTGTGGTTATTATTAGTGATTTTATTGCAGTCCCCACATGGCCCTGGGTTTAAATAAGAGCTAAACCATTTCCCAGCTGTGTGATATGGGGCAAGTTCATGCCCAATTTTGAGCCTTGGCATCCTTCTCTGCCCAGTGGAAATAAACAATCTATATCTTGAAGCAATGCTAACTGTCTAGAGTCCAATTAAGCAAGAATTTAGGACACCCGTGAAGCACTCTCCCTCCACCCCCTCAAAGGTCTGAGTGTTAAATCATCTGATATTTGCCTTTTGCGGAGTATGCATTGCAACAGTTCTCCGAAGGTGAAAATTCAGGACACTCTTGGACTTTTATTTATTTGGCAGTTTAATGGGGGTCCTATTTCAAATGATACTTGGGTGGTGGGAGGGTGTCGGTGGCTGCCATGATCTCTTTCAATGCTCTGGGCTTCTAAAGATGCTCAGCTGATCCTGAATCTAAGGATTCCTGCCTGACCCAAGGGGATACTGTGTACGAAAGACCTCAGCAAGGTGACTAGCACCCATGCATTCCATTGATAGAAGTTGTTATTCTCAAGGTGAAAGTTGCTTATCCAAAGGGTGATAGTGCTGGGGCTCTGATGAGATAGACCAGGGCCCACATCTTCACTCTGTCCACTACCCGCTGTGTGGGCTTCTCCAATCCCTTCCAGAGACCTAAGCTTCCTTCCTATTAAATGGGGGTGGAGAGCATGAATGAGCCCTCCCTGCAAGGGGTCTTGTGAGACCAAGCGCCCAAGTCATGAAGTCATCCTTGTGAGGCCCTTAACACTTCTTTGTTGTTGTTATGCTTGTTGTTAATCCTCACCAGAGGATATTTTTTTCTATTGATTTTTCAGAGATAGTGGAAAGGAGGGATGGAGGGAGAGGGAGAGAGAAACATTGGATCGGTTGCCTCCCGCACCTGCCGAGACTGGGGCTGGGGATAGAACCTGCAACCCAGTTACCTGCCCTTGATCGGGAATCAAACCCAAGACCCTTCAGTGCATAGGCCAACGCTCTAACCGTTGAGCCACACCGGCCAGGGTCTTAACACTTCTTAAGACCTTGACCCATGTTACTTATGAGCTCAAAAGCATTAAAAAGAAAAAAAGAGCTCTGGCCAGCTGTGTGGCTCGGTGGCCCGGTGGTTGAGCATCAACCCATGGACTGAGAGGTCACTGGTTCGATTCCTGGTCAGGGCACATGGCCAGGTTGTGGGCCAAATCCGCAGTGGGGGGCATGCAGGAGGCAGCCAATCCATGTTCTCTCTCATCGATGTTTTCATCTCTCTCTCCCTCTCCTTTCCTCTCTCTATAAAATCAGTAAAGTAAAACAAAATTTTTTAAGAAGAAAAAAGACTCCAGGTGGATAAAGAGGAAAAACCACCTCTTCACTATTCATTTCTCTTTCATCATCGGTAACAGTACAAATTTTAACAATGATAATAATTCATATTTTGTCTCCTGCCATGTGCTGGGTACAGTCCCAAGTATTTGACTCATTTACTTCTCAAAACAATCCTATAAGGTGGGCATGATGATCTCCCTCATTTTGCAGATGAGGAACTCAAGAGGTGCAGAGAGGTAAGCTACCTTTCAGAAGGTCACAGAGCCCACACGTGATGAAACTGGGCTTTGAGCCCGGATGTTCTGGCTTGAGAGTTCCTGCTCAGAAGAGGATGGACCAGTACCTGACCTGATAAGCTGTCGTGCAGATTCAACCCTACACTGTACTCACGAATCCTGACGCATGTGTGCAACGAACACTGGGTAAATCAGAAATAGCGCTGGCCGTGGGGACAGGCAGCCAAGGCAGCTGATCGATAACATCTACAGGTGCTGGTAGACAGTGGTGCTCAATATATGTTCTAGGAAGTCACATCCTCTGTGGAAACTTCAGTTTTCTTCACCTGACAAGCTGGCAAAATTATTCATAGACTTGTGTGTGTGTGTCTGTCTCTCTTTCTCTCTCTGCCTCTTTCTCCATCTACTAATCATAAAACCATCGCCAACCCTGAGTCAAACCCTGGGCTAGACTGTTAATCCTCCTGATTTCACTGAACTGTCAAAACAAGCCTGGGATGTCTGGGTTTATACTGTTCTGTGTAGTAGCCACTAACCACATGTGGTTATTTAAGTCGAAATCTATTCAAATTAAGAGGAATCTAAAGTTTCGGCCTTCAGTCAGGATAGGTTTTTTCAAGTGCTCACTGGCAGTGTGGTGGTTTCAGGACTGGACACGCAGACATAGAACACTTCCATCCCTTCGGAAGGCTCTATTGGTCAACACTGGAGGGTCAGCCCCACTTTATAGGGGAAGTGGTGGGAGGAGACTGAGGCTCAGAGAAAAGAGCCCCCCTCCAAAGAAAGTGAAGGGGGGATCAGGGATGGGCTGTTTCTGTAATGCCCTGAATGGGGGGGGGCAGAGAGAAATTATAGGTATCTGTGTGTGTGCACATAAAAAACTGTATATGAGAGAAACACACGTACCACATGATCTCACTTATTTATGGAATATCATGAACAAAATAAGCTGTCGATCAAAATAGATCCAGAGACATGGAAGTAGGGAACAGACTGACAAACCTCAGAAGGAAGGGGGGTGGGAGGATTGGGGAGAAATAAACCAAATAACTCATATGCATATATGCGTAACCAATGGACACAGACAATAGTTTGGGGAAAACAGGAGGAGGGTAGGAGCAGGGAGAAGGGAATCAATGGGGGAAAAAAGAGGGGCATCTGTAATACTTTCAGCAATAAAGATTAAAAAATAAAGTACAAATGTAAAAAAACTGTATACGTACATGTGTGAACACATGGGATTCTCATTATGCATGGTGTGTGCACATGGAGGAATTTGCATATGCGTGTGTGTGCACATAGAGATCTCTATATGCAGGTGAGTGTGTACATGAGGATCTGTATATGCAGGTGGGTGTGCACATGGGGATCTACATATGCATGTGGGTGTGTGTATCCAGGGGGATCTGTATGTGCACGAATGTGTGCACATGGAATCTGTGTGTGCACATGGGGATCCATATATGCTGTTGTGTGTGTGTGAACATGGGGATCTGCATATGCATGTGTGTGCGCACATAGGGATCTGTATATGCAGGTGGGTGTGCACATGGGGATCTGCATATGCAGTTGGGTGTGCACATGGGGATCTGTATATGCAGGTGGGTGTGCACATGGGGATCTGCATATGCAGTTGGGTGTGTGTACTCAGAGAAATCTGTATGTGTATGTGTTTGCACATGGGGATCTGCATATGCAGGTATGTGTGCGCATTGGGGATCTGAATGTGCACATGTGTGTGCACATAGAATTTGTGTGTGCACATGGGGATATGTGTGTACACATGGGGACCTGTATATGCAGGTGGGTGTGTGTGCACATGAAGGATCTGTATATGCAGGTGGGTGTGTGCACACATGGGGATCTGTATATGCAGGTGTGTGTGCACATGAGGATCTATATATACACATTTGTGTGTGCACTGAGGATTTGTGTGTGCATATGTGTGTGTGCACTGTATTTCAGGATCTCTCTGGAACTCCCTCTCTCAAAACCTCAGCTGTTTTCCATATCCACCATTTTCTACTCCAGGCTCTCTCTGGGTATCTTCACCTCTGTCTCTGAGTATCTCTGTCTGTCTTTCCAAGTCCCCTTTTCCTTCTTCCTGTGTGTCACTGTCTCTGTTCCATATCTCTCTCTATCTTTTTCTGTATCTCTGAGATTCCCTCTCTTCTTATCTCAGAATCTTGGTACCTGTGTCAATATTCCTTTCCCTCTGCCCCTCAATTCTCTGTTTTTAAATCTCTTGAGCACTGGCTCACAGCCCACCTTTTCCAGTGCCAGTCTTTGGTCCCCTCACGCCTGCCTCCTCTCTGTCCCTCACCTGTGTACCCAGCCTGTCTCAGTCCCCTCTGATTCCCCCTTTCCAGGCCAAGGGCAGGGAATCTGGGCCAAACTAGCTCCCCCTATCTCTCCAGCCCCCCTCTCCTCCCAGCCTTAAAAATAGCAGGAGAAATTGGGACGGACGCCGAGGGGGTGAGGGCGGGGGCTCGGCCTGAGGAGGAATAACCAGGTGTATGGGCACTCACGTCTGTCTGGGGGCCCTTCCCAGCGCCTGGACACTCGAAGGTCACAAATTCGTGGCATCGGCGATGAACCACAAAGCTGCAGACTGAAGATGAGAATCATAGAGACACAGAGACAGAGAAAGACCCCCACGGACCGAAAATCAGAGAGAGAGAAAGAACCCCTAACAGAAAGAAAACCAGACAGAGAGGAACCCTGATAGAGAGAGAGTTCAAGTGAGAGTAAATCAAAGGAGAGCCTTCACATGCAGAGAGAGAGAGAGAGAAACAAGGAGATGGAAATTCAAGAGATGGACCCAAAGACAGAAACAGAGACACAGAGAATCACAGAGAAACACAGAGCACAGAGAGGCCAGTGCATATACACAGAGACAGAGACAGAGACAGAGAGAGGGAGCCAGGAAAAGGAAGAGAGAGAATAAAATCCCAGTGAGAGAGACGGGCAGCAGACAGAGATAAGAAAGCAGGAAGGAGAGAAGCAGAGAGGCAAGAGAAGAAGCACACAGGGATGTCCTCGGACAGAACAGAGAACAGCAACTTGGGCAGAAGTGAGTCTGGGGGTGCCGTTGCCGCCGCCCCCCCTCCCTGACTCACTCTGTTCCCAGTAGCAGCTGGTGCTTTAGGACTCATCCCCCTCTCCACCCCCCATAACTGCCGGCCCCACCCGGCACCCACCCGCCAGTTGGTGACCCCACCCGGCATGCCCCTGCCTAGGACAGTTTGATGTTGTCATGGTGACGGCAGCCTGGGGGGTGGGGCTCTGACTTTGCATCTTCAGCACCCCCCCTTCAGCTCCCCTTTTCCAAATCTCCCTGTTCCCATGGCAACAGATTCTCCAAATATCTGTCCCCACCTGGAGCCGGCCAAGGGAGGGGCCCCCAGCACCACCTCCGCGGTGGCCCCGCCATCAGAGCTGCCTCCCCACCACAGGCTGTGCCTCTGCCACACCCCCCGCCCCGGGCTCCCCCGCGCCTCTCTGGGGACCAGGGAACACGTGTGTCAAGCAGCCTCAGCTGTGGGGTCCCAGCCTCCACCCTCCTGAGGGTCCCGGGAGTCCAGGCTCCTGCTCTTACCTTGACATTGCAGGCCCTGTTTTCCAATCCCCCTGCAAGAGGCAAGGATCTGAGGTCAGAGCAGAAAAGGGGAATCTACATCCCCTCACATCTGCGAGCCATAGATGGCCTCTGACCCTCCTGGGGCAGGAGCCAGGAGTCTAAGCCCCAGCTGCCTCCTCTTTCTAGAACCCAGAAATTCTAGCCCCCCCCCACCCCCCACCCCACCCCACCCCACCCCCGCTCTGCTCCCTCAGATCCTGGAGCCCAAGACCCTCAGCTCTGACCAGGAGTCTAGGCTCTCAAACCCCTCCTACCCTAGAGCCAGGACTACAGCCCCCTCTTTCCTCATTACTCAGGGTTCTGGTGTGACAGGGGTCTCTGCCCCTGGTCCCCTCATCCCTCAGGCCCTGGCCCCCTTCCCTCACCAGATGAAGTCGGTGCAGTGGCTGCAGAAGGTTGGCTGCTTGAAGAAGCGGGCGGTGAACTTGTGGCTCTTGACTTCGTGAACCACCTTCTGCCTCAGAGCTCCCTTTCTGCAAAACAGGGGCCGGGGGCCCCCCTCCGAATCGCCTCCGCCAGGGCCCAGGCCTGCCATGGCCCCAAGAACGTCGCAGGGACCAGGATCCTGCCTTTCTGGGGGAACAGGTGGAAGGGCGAGGAGCTGGAGACTCGAGAAAGCCGAGGAGCCACGAGGAGATCCCGAGGTGGGGCAAACTGGGGAGAGGCACGACCAGGAGGGGCAAGCAGTGGCCCCCGGGAGCGCCCAGGGGGAGCGGGCGAGTGGGGCGCAGAGCCTAGGGCAGGGGCGCGAGCAGGCAGCCGCACCGGCGGCGGTGGTGGGAGCTCCGGCTCCGGCACCTGCTGAAATGTGGGAGCCCCGGGGTGGGGGGAGGCGTTGCCATGACGACCGAGGGGCGGGGTTTCAGCTTAAAGGCCTCCCCCTCCCTGAACACCGGACAAATGTCCAAAAATCCTCCCCCTACTCCCCCCACAAACGCACGTGTGCACCCCACCCTTCCTCGGGGGCTGGCTGAAGGGGGCATCCTCGGAGCCGTGCCCTCCCCCACCCCAATCTGTCGCCCGGCCCGCCCTCCATCTCCACTCGGCGCCTCGGTGGCTTCTGCGACTCCTCTCGGATCTCTGTCTCTTTGACTGTGTTACTCTGTTTCAACCCACAAAGTTTGCACTCGGTGCTGGGATCCAGTGGCGCACAGGGAAGCTTGGTGTCTCACTTTCTCCGACGCCACCCTAGTGTTGTTGACTTTTCTCTCGGGGCCTCTTAATTTCTGTGTCTAGGTCTCCATCTGGGAGTGTCTCTCTCGGCGGCTGTTCCTCCCCTGGGGTTCCTGGCGCGCGCGCTGCTCCTTGATGAGTGGGTTGGTTTTTCTTTCCTGGTCTCTGCGCATTTCTATGTCTCTGTTTTCTCTCTTCTGCGCCTGCCACTGAGCCTGTGACCCTCTCTGGATCTTGGTTCTACTACCCTTCTCTAGGTCTTAGTGTCTCCCCCTTTCTTTGGGGGGGGGGTGTCCCTCTCTCTCCGTCTTTGTAAATGCCTTTGTCTCTGTCTCTCTTCCCTCTGTCTGCCAATCTCTCTCTCTCTCCCTCTCCCCCTGGGGGTCTCTCTGTCTTTCCCTCTCCATGTCCCCGTCTTTGTAAATGCTTTTGTCTCTATCTGTCTGTTCCTGCTTGCCTCTTCCTCCGATCTTTCTGTGCCTGTGCCTGTCCTGACCCAATCCCTCCCTCTGTTCGTTGGGGGGTGGGGAGGGGTCCCTCTCTCTCTCCGCCCCCCATCTTTGTCCCTTTCTCATCCACTCTCTACTTATCTCTCTGACTCTGTGCATCCTGTATCTCTCTTTGTCGGGGCATGGGGTGGAGAAGAGGGTCTCTCCCTCCCTCCTCGTCTTTCTGTGATTCTGTCCCTGTTCCTCTCTGGCTCTGGAGTTCTCTGCGCATCTGTTCCAGGGCTGGGGGGCTCTCTCCGAACGTCGGCTCTGTGGTCTCCTCCTGTCACTCGCACCCCGCCCGGCCCCTCGCTCTACCTGCGTCTCTTTCCCTCTCAGGTTGCGCTCGGTCCCTCCCCCCAGCTCCCGGGCGCTTCCCTGGGCTCGCTCCAGGAGCCCGGCTGTTGCCAAAAGCAACCACGGCCGGCCCCAGGCTGCCGGGCGCAGTGCACCCTGGGACTTGCAGTCCGAGCCTCCTTACCGCCAGTTCTCGCGGCGCGGCCGAGAACTTCCTCTCCCGGCAGGCCCCGCGAGGCGGGGCGGGGCGGGGCGAGGCGAGGCGGGGCGGGGCGGGGCGCGGCGCGGCGCTGTGAACGCGCTTCGGAACCCGTGGCGCCCACCGCGCTGGTCTGGCAATTTGGGGGATCCGGGTCTGCCTTATCGAAGCCGAAGGGGAGGTGAGAGAATCCGAGTCCTCTTCTCACCCCCCCCAACATGGGGGTCCTCTGACCTTCCAGCCACCCCAGGCGTCCTCCGTGTCTCAGCAGATGGGGGCAGGGGTGGCCCTGAAAACTAATCTCGGAATCCCGCCGCGCTCCGGGGTTCTTCCCCGTCACCTACATCTCACCCCGGGTTCCAGGGCGGTTTTCTCTGGCCCCTTCCAGAAGGGGTTCACGCATGGGATGCAGGTGGGGAGAGAGACCCCCAACAAGGGGAGGAGACGCCCTTTGAAGCAAGGGTTAGTACGGGCAAGAATTCTGGGGTGGACACTACTGAGATCAAAGGAGGCTATTCCTCACCAAAAGGGGGTGTCCCTGTTCTAGTTAGCTCTCCCCCCTCTTCCGGCGAGACCCTCCCCTCCTTTGCAATTTCTCTTCACCCTTGCTTGGCAGGTGTAGCTACAGAAAATGGGTGGCACGATCCTGGAATTTCCCGGGATTCCTATAGTATGTATATGATTCTCCTTAGGCTGGAGAAACCAGCAGAATGATCTTATGTGGGACAGAGACTCATTTGATCTTTATCAAAGTTGTCTATTGACCAAGTGTGACAGGGGGTTTAGAACTGAGTGGGAACGTAGGCAGGGTCAGACGCTGAAGGCCTTGAATGTTGGACTGAAGGGCTTTGGTGTTGCCGCCTATGGGCGAGGTGGAGAGGGATATGGAAGGATGTGAGCAGGGGAGGGCAGGATCCCACCTGGATGTTGGAAACACCCTCAGGGCCAGGGTGGGCTGGAGGGAGGATGGTCAAGGAGATTGAGGCAATAACTGGGGTGCAACAAAATGAAACCTGAGCAGGGTCAACAACCTGGAGAAGGGGACAGATATAAATAGCATTTAGGAGGAAGAATAGGCAGTGTTTGAGTAGCAGCTGAGAGAGGAGCCGGTAAGAACCAGTGCCTGGGTTCTCAGCTGATACTGAGATGGGGAACCTGGAAGACGCGATTTTGGAGGAAAGATACTGCTCTCAGATTGGGACCTTGTATTTCTCAGGTGTTCATGGGACTCCAGGGATGGAGGACTCTTATTCATTTCTATCCTAACGAGCTCTCCTGGTTTGAGAGAGTAATTAGGCTCAGCTAGTGTTGTTCTGATGAGGCCTAAGTTGTCTTGGCCCCACCCCCGCTTCTCCCACCAGACTCAGGAAATCTGGGCCTTGCCCTCTCTCCTGGAGCCCTCCCCAACAATAAAGCAAGTACATCTCTTCCTTTTATCTTTATATTGAGGTAAAAAATAAAATAAAGAACATTATGGATGTGGGGGGAGGGGGAAGGCTTCCCTCTATACTTGACAGCAAGGACTGATGGGAACCAGAAGCTCCAGGGAATTAAAAAAAAATAAAATATATATTTATACATTTATATATATATCATGTTACGCGTGTGAGTCCCCGAGAAGCAGGAAGCAGCAGCAGGAAGCAACTAGCACACAGAAACACACACGTGTGTATCACACACTCAAGCAGTTCCTCTATGGCGGCAGTGATCCCCACCTACCCAACCCACCCACAAATTTTTTTTTAAAAATGGAGAAGAAACTTCCCCTTTAAGAATAGGACCACCCAGTAATTTTTGCTCTGGTGACAGGCAGGAGAAAGGAAAACACCCTGACTACCATTCCCGGTGAGGCCAACAATGGCCATTTTGTTCTCCCAGCAAAGGCAGTACGTGCTCATTTTAATACCGAGGATGGAGCCCCACATCCCTGCCCCTCACAAATACTTCAGAAATCTTGATACCCACAGAGTAGTTGGGATGGTTCCTTTAAGATGATCTCTAGGCAGGGGTTTTTAGGAAGCCTGGTAAAAATTCTGGAGCCAATCTCAGGCGAGGCTGGGTGCCAGGTGGGGCTGAAGGACCCAGGGTCTGTGATGTAAGCCTTTCACCCGCTGAAATTGATTGACCGCCAAGGATTTTTTGTTTTGTTTTTTTTTTCATTTAAAGGGGAGGTGCACTGTACACCCCCTTCCACTGTGAGAAAGGGGGCCCAGTTCCTAGCTACCCACCCACCCCCCAAACACACACACATACATACACACACACACATACCTACTAAGGCACAGCCAGGGTGGGCACATGCTTTGGCAATGAGGCCCTTCAGGAGGCCCAGGGGCTGAACAGCTGCTAGGAGGGTGTGGGATGTGGAGCTCAGCACCTTTGGAGTTGGGTGTGGCAGGGGGGTGGGGGATGGGGCAAACAAAGAAGTCTCAGGGCTCCCAAGGAAATAGGAAGAAGGAAAATGGGAAGAAGTGATGAGAAAACAAATAGGATGGATGGCCAGGAAAGGACCGGACGGCAGACTAAGTAGAAAAGAGTGCAGAGAGAAAAAAGCTAAGCAGAATGTGGGCAACCCAAGGAAGGGAAGGGAACAGAGAGTACAGGACAGAGAAGAGCAAGTGAAGGAAACAAGAGAGCTGAGTGAGAAGGAGAGCGAAGGGGAGGAGAAGGGTCCCAGGAAGAGGACATCAGAGGACATCAGAACTGGGTAAAGACACCTCCAGAAAGAAGAGGGAATTGGGAGCTCCTGGACAGAGTCTCAGACCCTGACAAAAACCAGGCGGGCCGAGTACACCAGGTCGGCCACATAAGCCAGCAGGTTGATGGCCGTCAAAATGGCCACAGCCAGGCGGCGGTCCCAGGCACACACGTAGTGGACGTTGCTGCTCCGGCAGCCAGAATCCTGGCGCCGCTGTGGATGGCCGCCGTACTTCTCGTCGAACTGGTAGAGAGGCCAGAGGACCATGGCAGAGGCATAGAAGAGGACAGAGAGCAGGGCCAGCCCGGACAGGAAGCTGGGGAAGGGGATGGGTAGCACATTGGTGCAGTCGAATAGGTTTAACAGGATGGCCACCGCGGCCAGGATGAAGCAGATGGCGTAGACAGCCACGCACCACTCCAGGGCCGGCTTGTTCTTGTACAGGTAGACATCGCTGATGAAGGCAAAGATGATGCAGGCCACGAAGGTCTCGACCACCTTGAGCAGGCCTGGCACCGTGGCCATGTAGCCAGTGATCTCACCAGGCCGGGCCCGGGTCCAGGCCACCTCGGTGGCATAAGCCACGCACGCGATGCAGGAGAAGGCGGTGGCCGCAATGGCATGGTCCCTCGTGCGGCCGTGATTCAAGAACTGGACGTAGGTGGTAGGGTAGATCACGGAGGCCGAGAGGCAGAAGAGGGCGGCGTAGCAGGCGTAGGTGATGGGGAAGTTGCGCCAGGACAGTGGGAAGCGAGCCTGGAGCCCGCCTAACTCCACGAGGATGATGACGAGGGTCACGGCGAAGCAGAAGCACCAGGCGAACATACACCAGTTACCTGCGAACCCTACCCAAGCATTCACGCTGGCTACCAGCGAGAAGGCCACACAGGTGGAGAGCAGCTGGAGCAGCCGGAGGAGGCCCAGGGGCTGGGTCAGTGACCGAGGGGACCCCAGGATGGTCGGGGAGCCCAGGCCTGAAGATGACGTCGAGGTGGTCGTGACGGTCGTGCGGGTCACTGTCACTGGCATGGCTGCAAGAAGAAAGAAAGAAAGTGTCCTAAGAAGGTTCCAACCGGGAGAATTCAGGCTTCCAGCTTTTGCCTCCCCCAGGGGAAAAAGGAACCTGGACTCTAACTGGGGGGTATCCCAGATGCAGGCCTTTTAGTTTTCAAACTGGGACTATTAGGATGGCCTATTAGGGTGAGTTGGTCAAGCAGGCCGCAGCCCCCTCCTTCCCTCTGGCCTCGGGTTCTCACCTCTCATACCAGAACCCAGGAGTCTAGGCCCCTATTTTCTCCTCATCAAGAGGCTCCTTCCCTCTCCCTGCTGCTCACCTCCTGTGAAACCACAGAGCGTTCAGGGTGGGGGGAAGTAGGAGGTGGTAAAGGGGCGATACCTGTCGACTAGGGGTGGTGAACACCCCATACAATATACAGATAATGTATGACTGTACCCCTGAAGCCTATGTAATTTAACCAATGTCATCCAATAAATTTAATTAATCAATAATAACAATTTTAAAACCCCCACAGAGCTTTCTTTCTTTCTTTTTTTCAATTTACTGACTTTAGAGAAAGGGAGAGAGAAACCAGTTTGTTGTTCCACCTGTTTATGCATTCATTGGTTGATTCTTGTGTGCACCCTGACCAGCAATCGAACCAGCAACCTTGGCATATTGGGACGATGTTCTAACAAACTGAGCTACATGGCCAGGGCCAACTACAGAGCTTTCTTCCCACAGACACTCGAGGCTGCCCACCCTGTCCTGGGGACTCGGCCACCCAGCATTCAACACTGGGTTCTAAAGCATCTCCCACCCCAACCCCATCAGAACAAGAGGCTGTGTCCTCCATGACCTCTTAACAACCCATCTCTCAACTTCCTCCCTTTTTGGGGTGCTCTGCACCCCAGCCCCTGTGTCCAACTTCCTCCTTCACCTAACAGGCCTAGATATTTCCAGCCTCCTAAAATGCAGGAGTCCAACCTCCACGTGCACATTCTCAGGGACTCACAGCCAATCAGAGCTTCTAGCCAGTCCCAGTAACAGTCTCACCTCTGGACAGCAGCCCCGCCTTCCCCCACCCCCACCTCAGAGATCAGGAATCTTTGAAAAACTTCAACCCAAAGAAAGTGGAACTGCCTCTTGCCTATCCCCCCTGTGCCACATGGAGTCCCACCCCCTCAGCACCCCAACCAGCTAGTCCCCCACCTATGAAGTCCAGCTCCCTGATTCTCAACTGCCCAGTGCCCCGGCCCCTCCACGGAAATCTTTAGGCCTCCCGTGGTCCCGTATACAGCTTTAGACCGGGAGTTCTGAGCACGCAGCAGCGAGCACACCAGTCCCCCGTGCTCTAGCAAATCGGCCTCCCCTTCACTTCCTCCACATCCTCCCTCAGGCCCTAAAAGAGCTCAAGTCTCAGCTGCCACTCCTAAAACGCTCTCTCTCAGGCCTCTCTCAGTCGCAGGGAACTAACACTTCCCCTTCGGCCTGGCCAGCCCCGCACAGCGGCCTCTGAGGACACAGGAGCCCAGCCCCACACCGCGCTCCTTCCGCAGATACACAGGTGGCAGGGCCCCACTCCTTGGAACACAAGCTCCCAAGTACTTTTCTCAGAATCTAGGAGACAGAGACCCCAGTCCCATCCTTTCCGAGACCCAAATATTTAAGACATCCCCCACCCCCAGCTACCCCCTTCCTCAGGCCCAGGGGTCCAGCCCCCAGTCCACTCACCGGCGGTCTTAGCGGAGGATCCGCAGGGAGAAGGAGCCGGCTGCGCAGGCGGATGAGGTCAGACACCTGGAAAAGGTTAGTCAGGGCGCATGAAAGGGAGGCGTCAGCGTCCAGCTCAGCGTCCAGCTCAGCCCTTCCGCGACCCAGGCGACGTCCGGCCCGCCCCGAACTCCCTAGGGTCTGGGGTGGGGAGTGGGGGACCCAGGGCAGCCCCGCCTCCTCCCTGGTCCCCAAACAGCTGGGGCGAAAACCGAGGCTACTCTCCGAAGTGCACGCCCCGCGGGCCGGCGTGGGCGTGTGTGATCGTAACCCAGCCCCCGCCAGACTGCCGCGTCTCCGGGCCTTATAAGGACTTCAAGTCAGCCCAGCCTTCAGGAATGTGGCAGGGGACAGAGAGGACACGCTGGGACCCCCGCCCCGCGCCGGCCTCCGGGATGACCCGCCCCGCTCATCGGTTTGGAGGGAGGTGAATATGGGGCCTGGAACCTCAGTTCCGGGCCCCAGCTGGAAAGGCAGGGAACCCAAATTTCTGGGACGTTCAAAATTGAGTTCTGGGTCCCTATGAGGATGGGATGGGCGCCTGGTCCCCCAAGAGGGTCTCTAAGAGAGGAGTGACCGGGTACCCGGATCCCTGGGTTCGCCTGGCTGAGACCTTCCGCCTCGAGGCCTGGAACGGTGCCCAGCGTTGAAATCGAGAACAGAGAAAAGTAGTCACACCTCCAACCACCTCCAGGAAAACAGGTGTCCCGGCCACCTGGAAGGTGCCTCCTTCACGCCCCTCCCTCCAGGATCCGTTAGGAGGAAGTCGGGGCCGCCCAGGAGGAAGAGGACGGGCCAAAGCTCCTGAGAGGGAAGGCGGGTTCGCTCTGGGGCCACCTTCAGGGTCGTCTGAGACACAGCTCAGGAATGCGAGGACGGACTCGCAGGAGGGAGAGGAACACCCCTACGGCTTCTCGGCACAGCTCAGAACTCCCCGGGCCACACCCCACCCTCTCCCCACCTCCAGGTGGAGCACCACGCCCCATCACTCTACAGACGGGGGATGGTGCCCCAAAACCCCAGCATGTGCTCTCAACACCCAGGGACACTGGCTTCATCTTTGTTCACTCTCGTCCTGTCCGCGCTTTGGAAACACCCGTGCTGGATCTCAGCCCCGGCCTTTCCAGTCCAAAGTTCGGATTCTGTCCCCAGGATGGGGAGGTCAATATTTCTCATCCCCAGCCACTCTTTCCCAAACTCAGGACTCCCACTCCAAGCTCCTACCCTCCTGAGGACCTCCCCGTACCAGATTCCAGCCCCTTCCTAGGAGTCTCCATCCCTCTGCTTCCGCACACCCAGGAGTCCGAGCCCCCAGCTCTCCTCCCTCGGACCCAGGAATCGGGTCCCCAGCCCCTCCTCCCTCAGTCCCAGGAGTCCAGGCCCCCAGCCCCTCCTCCCTCAGACCCAGGAATCCAGGCCCCCAGCCCCTCCTCCCTCAGACCCAGGAGTCCAGGCCCCCAGCCCCTCCTCCCTCAGACCCAGGAGCACAGGTCCCCAGCCCCTCCTCCCTCAGACCCAGGAATCCAGGCCCCCAGCCCCTCCTCCCTCAGACCCAGGAGTCCAGGCCCCCAGCCCCTCCTCCCTCAGACCCAGGAGCACAGGTCCCCAGCCCTCCTCCCTCAGACCCAGGGGTCCAGGCCCCCAGCCCCTCCTCCCTCAGACCCAGGAGTCCAGGCCCCCAGCCCTCCTCCCTCAGACCCAGGAGCACAGGTCCCCAGCCCTCCTCCCTCAGACCCAGGGGTCCAGGCCCCCAGCCCCTCCTCCCTCAGACCCAGGAGCACAGGTCCCCAGCCCTCCTCCCTCAGACCCAGGGGTCCAGGCCCCCAGCCCCTCCTCCCTCAGACCCAGGAGTCCAAGCCTGGTTCCCCCATCGTCGTTCAGACGAGTATCCTGTCTGAGTCCAGGTCCCCAGCCCTCTGCTCTCCAAAACCCGAGTCTGGCTCAGCCCAGTCTTTCTAGGGACTCAGACATTCTGAATCCCAGCCCATTTTTCCTTCTGCACCCAAGAATCCTGGACCGCTGCTCCCACCCTCAGGAGTCACCGCAGCCTCACCTCACAGGCTTGCTGCGACTAAGTTGAAGCAGAGGCGACAGCTGCAGCCTAGAAGGGTCTGCCGACAGGGTGTGGATAGCGGGTGGGGAGGGGACGTGGGCGGAGTCGGAGGCGGGGCCAGAGCGCTGGGCTCCAGGACAGAACGGGACTCCCCCAAGCCAGGGCTACCCCAGCCCCGCCCCAGGGCGGGGCCAACACCAGACCACGCTCTCCCGCACGGCGGGAGGTGGGGGGTGGAGGGCTGAGGTCACTATCACCATGGTGACAAAACAGGAAGACACAACAGCTGGCGGAGAGGGGGCTCTTGAGGGCTGCCCTCCCTGACACAGCCCTAGAGCAGTCTCCAGGGGAGGCCCCGGGAAGGCCGTTGCCATGGCAACCCGCCTGTTTAGATTTTTGTTTAGAACCGAGACCCTCAGCCCAGGTTCCCACCCCAGCCTCACCTCACTCGCTTCTCCCTCTGCCTTCCTGCCCCTCCCTCCCCGTCTGCTCCACCCCAGCCTTGCAGGATGGATGAAATCTCGGACATCTGGGTCGCAGCGGGTTGGCGACCGGGCCTCAGTTTAATGGGGTCTGTGGACTAGGGTCTCTGTCCCCTGGGACCCTGAAAGAGGAAAGAGGTAGCGATCCCTAGTCTTCAAGAAGTTTCTGGGCTGAGGTCTCCGACTCCTGGGTCCCCAAAAGAACAGTAGTTGAATTTCTATGCTTAAGGATGCGAGGGTCCCCTAATCGTTATTTACACTGGGACTCGGTGCAAGGACCGACGAGCTGGACCCGTGTCCCAAATGTCACATTCGATGGAGTGGGGGAGGGGTGTTGACAGCAAAATTCCTGGGATCTAGGGCAGTAGGAGTTGGGGGCACCGACTCCCGGGTTCCACAAGGCGCCCAGGCTGGGGACCCAGATTCTTGGCTCGGAAGAGCAGTCAAAGCTCAGACACCTGGGTTTTCAGAGCAGACGTGGTTGCAAGCCGAGCCTCTTAGGTCTGGAAGGGAGAGATATTTTTGGCCTGCATTCCAAGCTCTCGGGAAGAGGGAGGGACCCAAAAGCTGAATGAGGACGGGGGCTGGGGGTGCCAGGTTCCAGGTTCCAGAGAGAGGGGAGGAGCCCCAGGGGCCCGTGTGCTCCATCCCGGAGCAGGGTGGGGCTGCGGGGTCCTTTTCTAGCGGCGGCTCTGGGGCTCCAACTCGGATTGACAGAGCCAAGAAACCGGCGGAAACTGAAGGTCTGGCTGCCGGGCCCGGGGTCGGGAGGGGCGGGGCGGGGACCGGGCGCCTGGGTCCCTCCCTGGCGGCCGCGCACTCACCACGCTCTGCAGTTGTCCCCGGCGCGGCCTGGCTCCTGGCTGGCGCGGGGCGGGGCCTGGTGGCGGCTGCGGATGCTCCGCAAAGCTGAGCCAACGGGGCCGCTGACCGCTGCCACCGCTGGGTGCGTTCCAGGCCGACGCCCGCGGAAGCGTTGAGGCCGAGCCCAGCGGAGAAAGCGGCGCGAGCGGCGAAGGGAGGGGTCCGATGGGGTCCGGGAGCTCCGCAAACCGGGCTGCGTGCCCTACGGAGGTGGGAGGGGCTGGGGGGGCACCCGGACGCACGGAGCTCTGCAGAAATGAGGTGTAGGGGAGGGGGCAGAGAGAGGGATGTGCAGCCTGTATGCCTTGTTCTGTGCCCCTGCAAAGGGGGTAGGCACAGACCCTCTCTGTCATCTACGCCCTGCATAGGGAAAGGGTCTCCATGAACCCCGCATCAGGATAGGAGTCAGGACGTGGGATTAGAGGTTCTCCAGGGACATCCCCAAGGCCAATTCACACCCCTCCTTGGCCCCCAGGGTAGCAGCATCTCCCCATCCCCTCCTTCCTGCCCAAATATGTTACTCTCTTTGCCTGACCCCCCTGGTGGTACTCCTGGTACCCCAAAAAGTGCAGGGACCGGCTCCACGCGCACACCTTGCTCTCTTGTGTTCGCTGATAGAAGCCTTCCCCCTTTAGGCACTGACCCCAAACGGCGGGGTTCACAGCAGCCGCAACAGGAAGCAAACATTTACAGAGTGAATCATCCGGTGTGATCTTGAGAAGTGAAACCACGGCCCTGGCTGGTTTGGCTCAGCGGTTAGGGCATCAGCTCGCGGACCAGAGAGACCGGGGTTCAGTTCCCGCTACGGGCACGTACCTCGGTTGTGGTTCAACCTATCAACCTAGCCCCAGTTGAGGTCGTGTGGGTGGCAACCAGTCCCTCTCACATTGATGTTTTCTCTTTCTCTCTCCCCCTCCCTCCTACTCTATCTGAAGATAAATGCAAAAATGTCCTCGGCTGAGGATTTAAAAAGAGAGAGAGAGAGAGAGAGAGAGAAGTGAAACCATGTAATCTGGCACAGAGCATTTGTCCAGCCCAGAGTACAACACCCTGACCAACGATGTTGTCTGCAGCCTGTCACTGGACCCAAGCCTCAGACAGGCCAGGCCTCTGTTCTCTGAGGGTAGCAGCTTAGAAGTGATGGGGTACATGGACCCACCCACTGACTTCCTCATAAACTGAGTTTTTTAAAATCAGAAGCAATATTGTGTGGGTTAGCACGATGGTGAATAGAGCCATTGAGTGCAGACGCAGATGCTGCTGTTGGCAGGAGTGTGAAAGGCTAAGAAAGCAAATAACAGCCCAGAGGTAAAATTATTCCAGGGAGAGCCTGGCCAATGTGGCTCATTTGGTTGGGCGTCTGGTGCACCCAGAGGTTGCTGGTTAGATTTCTGGTCAGGGTGCATGCTAGGTTTTGGGCTTGATCCCCAGAAGGGGGTGTGTAGGAAGCAGCCAATGGATGTTTCTTTCTCTCTCCCTCTCCCTTCCTCTCTCTAAAATCAATTTTTTTTTTATCCTCACCCGAGGACATTTTTTGATATTTTGTTCAGATTGAGTGAGAGGGAGAGAGATAGAGAGAAACATCGATGTGAAAGCGACACATCGAGTGCTTGCCACCCACACGACCCAACCAGGGCTGGGGACAAACTGCAACCGAGGTACGTGCCCTTAGCGGGAACCGAACCCGGGTCTCTCCGGACAGCAGGCCGACGCTCTAACCGCTGAGCCAAACCGGCCAGGGCTCTAAAATAAATTTTTAAAAAAGCATGTCCTCAGGTGAGGATTAAAAAGAAATATATTTTAAAAAGAAAAAGAAGAGCTGGGTCGGTGTGGCTTAGTGGTTGAGCATCGACCCATGCACCAGGAGGTTGCTGGTTTGATTCCTGGTCAGGGCACATGCCCAGGTTGTGGGCCCAACCCCAATGGGGGGCATGGAGGAGGTGGCCAATCGTTCTCTCTCGCGATGTTTCTATCTCTCTCTCCCTCTTCCTTCCTCTCTCTTTAAAAATCAATAAAGAAAAATAAATAAATAAATAAATAAATAAATAAATAAATAAATAAATAAGAGCCCTGGCCAGTTTGGCTCAGTGGTTAGAGCGTTGGCCCGCGGACCAGAGAATCCTGGGTTCAGTTCCCGCTAAGGGCATGTACTTCCGTTGCAGTTTTTCCCCGGCCCCGGTTGGGGTCATGTGGGTGGCAACCAGTTGATATGCCTCTCTCACATCGATGTTTCTCTCCCTCTCGTCCCCCCTTTCTCCCTCCCGCTCTATCTGAAGATAAATGCAAAAATGTCCTCGGGTGAAGAAAGAAGAAGGAGAAGGAGAAGGAAGAAGGAAGGAAGGAAGGAAGGAAGGAAGGAAGGAAGGAAGGAAGGAAGGAAAAGAAGACCAAGTTCCCCGCAGAATAAGCTGTGGAACAGGGTTGGAGAATTAATGTAATGCAGAGGGAATGTGGGACAGGACTACTATCCACCTGCATTACATTGCTAGGGCTGCCATAAAAAATCATCACAATCTTGGCAGCTTAAAATGACAAAACATATTCTCTCACAATCTGACATCAAGATGTCAGTGAGGACACACTCCCTTTGAAAGCTCTAGTGGAGCCCTGGCCGGTTTGACTCAGCAGTTAGAGCCTCAGACGGCAGACCAATGAGTCTTGGGTTCAATTCCAGTCAGGGGCACAGTTCGTCCCCAGCCCTTGTCAGGTTGTGCATGAGGCAACTGATGTCTCTCTGCCTCTCTCTCTCTCTCCCTCCCGTCCACTCTATCTAATGATAAATAGAAAAATATCACCGGGTGAGGAATTTTTAAAAAAGCAGGCCCTAGTGGAGAACAGCTTGCTTCCCTCTGCAGACTTTTTTTTTTTTTTTTTTTTTTTTTGGTACATGCCCCTGGCAGGAACCGAACCCGGGACTCTCTGGTCCACAGGCTAAGGCTCCAACCGCTGAGCCAAACAGGCCAGGG